ATGAGCCCCACGCGCGTGGTGTCCGTGATGCCCTTGTGGTGCGCTGCAAAGGCGTAGTCTGCGGAGACGAGGTGGGGACGGTGCGGAGGGGGCCTGCTGTTCAGAGGGCCATTGAGCTCTGGCCCTGGCCCCCAGCCACGCGCAAGAGGCCTCCGGGTTGTCTTTCTCGAGCGGGCCCCACTCTCTGGCACCCTGGCACCCGCACGATGTCCTGCCCTCAGGCTGTCACTTATCGCAGGCCCCGCCCCGCGGGCTGTCTATCATTCACACTAGGCCCCGCCCCCAGGGCTTGCCCTTATTTCCAGCCTCGTGCCCCAGGCTGGCACCGAGTGACGTCACTCACAGTAGGCCCTCTCCAGGAAGAGCGCCCCTGCAATGGCGTAGAATACGGCCACGCAGCCGATGTGGCGCCGGTAGTTCTCGATGAAGCGCTTGAACTGCTGCACGGTCTGGTGGCGACGGCTGCGCTGAAACTTCTCTCGGTGCGCCTCGGTGAACAGCAAGGGCTGGAACGACGTTACCCTGGGAGACAAACGGCCTGAGCCCTCGATCCCCATCCACCCAACGCTGGTGGAGCCTCGCCTCCCAGAGGGGAGTCGCGGAGCAGCGAGGGACTGGTACCAATTCCGAGGAAGAGGCGGCCAGTGACCACGGGAAAGCAGGGTGCAGACCCCAAGGGCCATACCACACTCAGTGAGCTTCTGGCTAGTCATTTCATCCTTGGGGATACACTCTGCTGTCCATACACACTCAGCCCCTTCCCTAGCTTCCAGCTCCCACCAGGCACCAACTGTCAGCCTTTACTGGAGGAGACTCAAAGGACACCTCCTCCGTGAAGACTTCTCTGATCTCCCCAGGGACAGGCAAGAGCTTCCTTGTGCTCTGAAGCCCTTGTTCTTACCACTGTTACAACCTTCATCACTGGGCATAGTAATTCTTAGTGTGCCAGACTATCTGGCCAGACTGCACACTTCCTGGGCAGGGAGGGTTCCTTCTGCCTGCACTCCCAGAGCTCAGATGGTGACTGGCACCGAGTAGTGGGTGTATGCGTGCCGGAGAGGTGGGTGAACTGCCCGGGCTTAAGGAGAACAGCAGGCGTACTTCTTGCCAAACCTCCGTCGAATCTCCTGGGGAGGGTCCATGTCCTTGGGACACTGAAGTCTCGGTGGTGTCATCTCAGTCCCGACATCACTGCGCGAACAGCGGGCACTCACTCTGGGAGACGGACTAGGACAGAGATGGACATTGGACCTTGGCCACCTCAGCCCTCTGTGGCCCCAGGCTGCCTCAAAACCTCCTCTGTCAGTGAGGGGACAGCGGGATTACCAGAGCCCCAGTGAGAAAGGCCACCAAACCCTGGGAGTCCCAGCCAAGGCCACCACATATGCCTGGGTCCTTCACAGCAGCATCTGGCCCATGCAGTACATGGGCGCCGAAATCCAGGAGGCCCCTGTTCGCAAGTCTTTGTCTGTCTGCAGTAAGGAGTGCCTTTGGCTGTTTTGTATGAAGGCTCTATGTGGGCCATGGTAGCCCTGATCCCATCCATTCTGGAGAGAGAACTGGCAACGCCGACCCCTCCAACCTTCCCAGATGGGGGCTCACCAGATCTTCTCCTGGCTGACGTAGGAGGCTCGGCGGCAGAGGTCCTTGATCACTTTGGGCACCTCCACCCCTGCAATGCAGAGTGGGCTAGGGAGCTGCTCAGCGCCCGAAGCCCAGAAGGGCTCGGCTCAGTTGCCCAGCACCCTGTACCTTCCTCTGTTTTGACACTGTAAACGGTCCCTGCTGAGTGGAAACCTGGCCCCTGGTTGTGTCAGCCACAGTCTCTGTCCCCAAAGGGAGATGGCCTAGCCACAGGTAGACAGGGAGAAGGCCTGAAACAAAGTTGGCTGGACAGACCCTGAGGATGTGCGCCCCTTCAATCTGACTCTCAGACTGGTGTCCAGCTTATGGGGGGGTAAAGTTCAGACGTTCAGGGCTGTAAGTAACCTGCCTGCTAAGCCTAACGCTGCTTCACACTCCAGCTTAAAATCTTCAGAGCTAAATGTAGGATCTAGGTGATAGGTACGTGGGAGAGCATTCTAGTTTTTTTCCCTACCTTACTGTGTTTGAAAATGTTCACAATAAAATCTTGGGGGGGTGCACTCAGGAGCCATCCCTCTGTTTCTGTCTGGGCACTGAGGGCAGGCTGAGGATGGAGCTGCAGATCCAGCAGTTCCTGGGATGCCAGGAGGTCTTGGAATTTCCAGGGTACTTCCAAGTGCTGAATCAACCCTGAATATGACCTGGTCTATAGCCAAGGCCAAAGTGAGCTGAACAATATGAAATCAGTGTATTTAAAACAAATTTTAAATGTCTGTATTTTCTTTTTTAGAGATGTTTGCTATAGGGCATGGACACTCGCCGGAGAGACAGAGAGACAGAGAGACCGAAATCCCAGGGAGGATGGCCATGCTGCAATCCTTTCTCCTCCATTCTCCCCTTGAGATGTTAGGCATACACGCACATACACCTGGTGTGAGTTTCAAGCTGCCAGGTCCGAGACTCAGACCACAATCAGCCATGTGGGAGTCCAATGACATAAGTATTACTCCATCTGCTGATCCCCAAATGTCTGTATTTTCAAATGGTTTAGCAAATATGGCAAAACGGTAAGAAACGATAAATCCAGGAGAAAGGTAATCTGCCTGCTATTCTTGTTCCTTTCCTGTAGACTTAAAAATCTTTCAGGATAGGGCCAGCAGGTGGCGTGGTGATTAAGGACATTGGATTCCCATATGGCTGACCATGGTTCAAGTCCTGGATCTGGCAGCTTGCTTTCTCACTTTCTCTCTCTCACTCTGTCCCTTAAATCTTTCAGGATAAAACTGGGAGAAACAACAAAGCACAACCACAAATAAAAGCAAAACAAAACAAGACTCAATGCTAACCTTCTACTTAATCCTCAGTCCCAAACCCAGTCCTACCCTCCACCCCAAGGACTCTGCGGCCTAGACTCACTGCCAGGCAGCCTGCTGCACTGGCTGCCTTGGGAAAGGTGAGAAGCTGTTGAATAGGGAACACTTGGTCTCATCTCTACCAACTCCCCTTACCCCCGGGGCTGGGGAAAGCCTTGATCAGAGGCTCATCTGTGTCTTGTCCAACTCGCCCCTCTCCTCCATCAGACCTCTCAATTCCCACCTTATTGTAATCCTAGCAGGAGCTGGGTTTGGTTTCAACATGCCACAGGGAGAATTCTGAACTGAGAAGACACCATAACAGCTTAGAACAGGCCACAGACAGAACCCCTGCCTGCTACTTGTCCCCTCCTCACTCTGACTCTAGCTCCCACCCACCTGAGTCAGACACAGGTGGGGCAGGGAGTAAGAGGCCCAGGGAAGGTAGTTCCAGACACCACCTACCACCCACCACCCACCACCAGTAAGGCTGCATCAGGACTATGCTGGGCCTTTTGCCTTGTTAGGGCCCCTGCCTCCACAAAAATAAAACATGAATTAAGAATTATATTTTATAGTTGTATGCTATAAAACTATATACCAGACTGGATACATATTACACAGTCATTGTGTTATATTCATTTGTTTTCCTTCTGATTCAAAAGGAACTAAAACATTTCTGTGCACTCCTAAAAGTATGTGGGCATTGTGCCTACTGTGCCCTGCCCTTCAGGCTGCCCCACCTTTGACGCAGAGCTGTGTAAATCGGAGCTCGCTGTCATGGTCCCGCAGCATGAAGTGGAAGTCCTCCCATGTCAGCTCCTCCTTGTCCTGGAAGCCCGACTCCCGGAACATGGACTCCACCACCTCGGCCAGCTGGTCCTTGGACAGGCAGTTATTGGAGATCTCGATGAAGGACCTGGGGTTGGAGGCAGGGAGCTATCAGGCCCTGACACAAGGACCCACTTAAAAGGGCCCACATGGCCCCAACTGGCCAAATCCCAAGGCCTACTAGCTGTAACAGTCTCAGTTACAAGGAGGCCCCTGTTTACCCTTGACCCTTTCACCCTCTCTTTTATGTCCCTTCTCCTTCCCCTGGCAGTTCCTGCCCTGGCCCTCTCCCCTCGCTGTCCTAGAGGACCAACCTCAGCATCCTGATGAACTCATCCTTGGAAATGAGACCATTCCCATCAAAGTCGTACATTCGGAACATGAGGCGAGACTTCTCTTCAGGGGAGCCTGGGAGAAGACACTGTGAGGAGCCCAGCTGCCTGCTCTAAAGGGGCCTCACACTTAGGTGACAACCCACCACTGGATACAACAAGGGTTGCTCCATTCCTGATCCCTCTCCGGGCACTCCCAGAGGGCTGCCAGGGCTGGAGCCAGGGCCCAGTGCTGCTGTATCTCAACTCTGGAGTTGTGGTGTAGGCCACAACCCAGCGTCAGCCCTCCAGCCGTCCAGACTCTCCCATCTAGTTGATCATTCCCTCCCTCTTACCTTTCATGAAGACCACCAGGATGTCCAGGAATTCCCGGAAGGACAGGTAGCCATTGCCATCCTTGTCGGCCAGAGAGAACATGGACTCCACAAACATGTCCTGGGGCTTGAGGCCCAGGGACTCAGCAAACTCAGCCCTGCTCAGCTCACAGGTCAGGGCCTCCCGCACTTTCTGTGACGAGTCCAGGGGCAGGCTGCCTGCATCTGCCTGGTTGATGTCCAGCACCTGCACCCAGGAGGCAGCGGAGGGAGGGACAGAAGGACACAAGGCTTCCTTGACTTAAAGGCCCACCAAGTCGCGTAAAAGCCACCTTCTGAGATGTCTTGCCAGTACTTCCCCAGCAGCCCTATGGGTGGTCCCTGGGGCCAAGTTTGTTCTACCAAGCCCTGGCCTTCTGCCTTAGCTGACTAGACCCGGGATACACACTTGGCCCAAGCTGGGGATCTGCAATTGGCGTGCAGACGTCCCAAGTCTGTCTTTTATTGAGTCCAAGAAAATTCAGAAGTTGTGGTCTACCCTTTTTTCTTAAGTGTTCAGAAACAGAGAAAATGGAAGCAGCCCAAGAGAGGAGTCTCCCTTGCCAGTCCTTTCCAGGCCGGGTTCAACTTCTCCTTTTGAAATTCCTGTAACATCCTCATATCCTCAGAGTCAACTAACCCTTTGTTAATGCTAAGTAAAGTGGATTTCTCTTGCTTTCATTTAAGAGTCTTAACCAAGATGAGGCTTCAGCTGAGTTGCAAAAAGGATGGGCTTGGAAAGTTCTCACTTTTTTTTATTTATTTATTTATTTATTTATTTATTTTTGAGAGAGAGATTTTTGCTATAGGGCACATGTGCTCGCTGGAGGGATAAAGACAGAGAGACAGAAAGAAAGAAATCACCCCCTTGGGGGGCTGATCATGCCACAATCCCTTCTTCTCCATTCTCCTCTCAGGATCTTGGGCATGCATGCACACATCCCCAGAGAGAGTTTTAAGCCACCAGGTCTGGGACTTGAACTGTGGTCGACCTACATGGGAGTCCAGCGACATAACCATTATGCCACCTGCTGGACCCAAGAGTTTTCATTATCGGCCACCCCCAGCCCACCCAGGGCTGCCCCAGCGTGAGTAGAACCGACAGGAAGGGAAGCAGGCAGGTCACAAGCCATGGTACCTATCTTACCCACCCGTCAGCTGGAGGTGTTTAGTCCAAGTCTGGGTATGGTTTTGTGAGGCAAACCTTGCAACCTCAACCAAGAGCTTTAGTGGAAAGAGACCCAGGTTCCTGTCTCAACTCTGCCACCTGCTCACTGCATGACCTCAGGCAAGTCTGCGATTCATTTCCTCACTTGCCCTACTTACCTCACAGGGTGATCGTGAGAATCAACAAGGGAGGTTGTGTGCGGAAAATGTTTTGAAAGCTGAATGCACCGTGCAGATAAAAGGGCCACCCCCAGGATACAGATCCTCCCCACCTCCCAGCATGGGGGTTCCCATGGCCTGGGTGGATCCCGAACTGAACAGAGGTGCCCTGATCCTGCCTGGGCCCTGGCACCAGGGTCACTCAGCTGAGGGGCCCTCTATTCTTGTGCTTACACAAGTACAATTTGTTTGAGGATTAAATGGCTTTAAGTCATGTGCCTGGCACAGAGTAAAGCCCTTAGCTGGGAGCTTCTTCATGAGTTCTCTCCCCAGCCAGCCCACCCCGTTCCTTCTTCTCCTTGAACATTAATTTTTTGCCCTTCCGTGGAGTACCTTTACTTAGTCCTTCCTGCTCCTGTCTTCTGGGCCAAAACTTTTCCAACTTTGAGTCCTTGCCAAATCGCAAGGATCAGACTGACGGTCGCTATTTTCTCTCAACTCATAGACCACTTACTTCCTGGATCACCTTTGTGGTCCTCATTCTTTGCATTGTCTTTCACTCTGTGCATGTCCCAGCCTCCCGATGGAATGACAGACTGCTTCAGTGGCGGGGAGGGGACTGTCCTGGACGCACAGTTCCCCTGGTTCTTTCTCCACTTCACCGTTCTGCTCCCAAGCTGCCTTTGTGTCCCCATCAAATGTGGACTCAAGACTACGTTCTCCTGTCTCATTTCTCCACCTGTTCCCAGTAGCTCTCAGAAGTCTGCAAGGTGGAGACTTAATGCCCCCCAGAGGCTTCTGGTAGCTGCTCTCCCACAGGGAGAAGTGAACAATGACTCTGACAGCCCCCACATCACCTGTCTCACCCTGGGTTTCTGCAGCCTTTTGGGCAGGTTGAAGCGAGTGAGGACAGAAAGCCTGAGCAGCCTTAAGGAGAGAGGTAAGTGACACACTTACTTAGCTGTGAACCCAGGGCTTCTGATTTCCCTTGGAGTCGCCGCATGGCCTCACACAGGTAAGGACACTGCCATAAGCAGACTCACAGGGACAGATCCGATTCCATGAACACACCTGGGAGAAAAGGTGCCTGAAAAAGGTCTCCAGGAGGTGGCTCCGCTGCTCCCGTGTCACAGCGGCCCTCATCAGCTCCTGCTCTCGAACCTCCCACTCCTGGAAGTTCAGCCCATTCTCCTTCAGAGCTGCCCGGAGGTTTTCCACCAGCGCCTGCCGCTCATTCTCCACGTTAAACAACAGTACCTGTGGGGCAGCAGGAGGGAGAGCAACCACTTGTCAAGGCTCCTAAGGCTCGAGGCCTTACACAGATTATGCCAGAGGGGCCATTGGAGGGGACTCACAAAAAAGATCTCTCTCCCTCCTTTATAGGAGAGGAAGTGTCTCAGCCAGGTTAAGTGCTTATGGGAGCTCAGTTTGCATTTAAAGGCACATGTACAGAGCCATTCTTCCCTGGATTCCAGAGGGGAGAAGGGAGGGAGGGAAGGCAGGGAGGCCAGAGAATAGAGGGGGCTGTGAGCTAGGCAGTTAGAACCCACAATCAACTCTGATTTAGCTCCCCTCCACAGTCTCTAAATTTAATTTCACTAGATACTGAAATAAGGGGACAGGGAAATGAGCCAGACTTCTTCCAAAGACTCCCAGATATGACTTGCCAGGCATCCTGAGAAAAGGAGGAAGCAGACTGTCTGCAAGAGACAAAAGTGCCTGTAGAGCTCATGCCAGCCAGCAGGCCCAGAGCAGGACAGATACGTTCAAACTTCTCTCTATCAGGTACTCCAGCCAGAGACTGGGAGCCAGAAACCCTGCTTTCCTGGCCCAGGCTCCTTCCCCTCCACCTGGCTGCTTCCCTGGCTGTGGCTGGGGGCCAGCTGGGCCAGGGGCCAGCTGGGCCATACCAGGTCATACTCCTTGGGGATCTTGAGCAGCAGGGTGCGGCGCCCACGGTTGCTGGACAGGAGGAGGTTGACCTGCTGTGGGGGCCGCAGCTGGATGGTGCGGAGCACAGTGAGCCCGCCGTCCACCACGCGGATCTGCCCCGGCTGCAGGTGCACGAGCACAGGCCGGCAGGGCTCCTTGCGGCCCTGCCATTCCAAAGCTGGAGAGAGAGTGATGAGGCAGTGTCAGTGAGCCCACTAGAGGCATGAGGAGAGAGGAGGAGAGAGGAAAAGAGTCAGCTCAGCACTGGAGTTAGACCAAGGCCTCCACAGCTCCTGTCCTGTTCCTGGATGCTGAGGGTCAGCTGCTCGTCTTACAGTCCTGCGGTCAGCCCCGCCTCAACAGTCCTCTACAGTCCAGGAGAGCGGTAACTGCCACCTCCCAAATGTCCACTCTGTGCTCAGCACTACGCCAAGTGCTTCGCATGAATTATTTTAACCCAAAATCTATGAGGTACATGGTATTATTATTCCTATTTTATAGAGAAGAGAAAATAGGTATAAAGAGATTTTAAAATCTGGCTGGGCATGATAGCATGTGTCTGTAATCCCAGCTACTTGGGAGGTTGAGGCAGGAGGGTTGAGAATCCAAGGTCAGGAAGACTCTCTCTGTGTATATATGTATATATATATATGTGTGTGTGTGTGTGTGTGTGTGTGTGTGTGTGTATATACACACACATATACAGTGGTGAAACCAAGATATTCCATATTCCAAGCCCTCCAAGCCCAGTCTGACCAAGGATATTCACTAATCCCTTCCCTGTTGCCTGGAATTTCAGCATTAAATGCCACAAAGCAGCAGTTCTCAAGGATGTGTGAGTCACAGGAACTCTGACATCTAGGCAGAGTCCTGGGACTCCTCCATATGTGTCTGTCACCGTCCTTTATTTGAGGTCACTGGGAGGAGTTACCGTGGTCAGAGTTTTCCAGGTCCAACTTCTACCTAATGCCACTCCGGCTCCCCTGGCCTTGCCCACAGCTCTGGAGCAGGCCTCTTCCTTAGTTGCCGGGATGAGGGAGGGGGCTGTCGCCTAGTATTGTCCTCGGCAGCACCACCCTGGCCAGCCATGGGCCTACCTTCCACGCCCCCCACGAGCTTCTCAGACATGATACTCTGGCGGTCCTGGCCCTGGAGCCTCTTGAAAGTCCTCATCCGGAGCCGGGCAACAATCCAGGCGCTGAGCAGGCTCACTGGGAGGGCAGAGGCAGTCGGATACTCAGGGAGAGGTGAGGATCTGGGGAAAGGAAGTGGCTTCTTTCCCAGCTCCTTTCCTTGCCTTCCTCAGCTCCTAAGTCTGCCCTTCAATTGTTTCCAGTTGTAAACTGGGGGCAGGGCTGCTTTGCACTGGTGCAGGGGGAGCTGTGGGTAGCATCTACAATACCTTCCCCACCTCCTCTGCTTCTACCACTCAAGTCCCCTCCCAGAGAGAGACTAAGTCCAGAGTCCTTGTGCCAGAGACTGGACTCACCCCACCAGACTGCTGGTCAACCCACACATAGCCTTGCCAAAGACTAAGCGCCAAGTCCTCATCTCAGAGACTGCATCTGTCCTGGTTCTCAAGTGAGGATTCGCTTCCAACAGTCTCTCAGGCCCAGCCTCCTGCAAACCTATAGATTGTGGACTCCTATGGCTCCTGACCAAACTGGGCCCTGAGGGTATCCCGAAGAACAGGGAAGCAAATCTCCTTGGAGCTGACTTACCTGCAGATTAGATACCTCTCCTGCTCCCCCCATTCCTTGCCCCAGTTTGCACCTCTCACCTACCCCCAACTGCCAATCACTTTTACCTAGGGGGAAGCAGCAGAGAGTCCCAATGGTGACCCCGAAGCCAAATCCACTGCCTTTGAAATAGTCTCGAACGACGAGGGGAGTGCAGGCTGGCAGGCCCTCGGTGCTGAGCTGTCTTGGTTGTGGACAGGGGTCTCCTGAAGAAGCAGAGGAAGCCAGAATCCTGGGTGCTGGGCCACAGACTCTGGCACAGGAACCCTGAGGAGATTAGGGTGGCAGAAGAGGGCGTGGTGCTCTGGTAGCAGAGGGGATGCGAAGGCTTACTGTTGGTATTGTACTGAGATTGGCATTTGCCTACTTGGATAATAAAGGGGATCAAAATGAACCTCCACCTCTTCACTGCGCGCTCACACACAGCCCTTCCCTCGTCACTTCCCTCCCTCGCTGCCCTCAGCCCAAGCCCCAACCCAGCTAAACTTGAGCCTCTGAGCCTCTGAGCCTGGGTCCTGCCCTCTCTGGGCTCCTCCAGCTGTGCAGATGGGAACTTCCACAGCTGTATGTGTCAGTCCTGGCACCCAGATACAAAGCTCCCAAGGACAGAACCACAGCCCTCCCCTTGGAGGCTATCCAGTCACACAGCCCACCCCCAGCTGAGAGAGATGAAGCTCTTCACCCAGTACCCCTCCAACCACCCCCCTGGTTACTCACCCAGAAGCCAAAAAAAGACATTGGGCTGCAGGGCACCAGGGTTCATGTTGGTGACAGCCACTAGAACGTCCCGTAGGGAAGTGTTTCTAATCTCTGCAATCTCCTTCTCAGAGAATAGTCTAGGGGCAGGGGGAACAGAAAACTGTTGTGGAAGAAGACAGATGTAGCCCCCCTCCCCAATGAAGAAAGACACCCAGATAGGTTGAGGAGGGAGTAGTGAAGTGGGCTGAAAATTAAGAGCTCATGGAAGGGGCCTACAAGTGGCATGGTGGTTGGGGTGCTAGACTTCCACATGGCTGAGTGCAGTTCGAGTCCTAGACCTGGTAGCTTGCTTTCTTATTTTTCCTTTTTCTCTCTCTGGTCAAATTGAAAAACAATAATAATAACAAATGGAATTAAATAAATAAATAATTTTTAAAAACAAACAAACAAACAAACAAAAAATCCATGGCAAAGGGACCAGCAGTTAGCATAATGGCTATGTCGCTGGACTCCCATGTAGTCAACTATAGTTCGAGCCCTGGACCCAGTGGCTTAAACTCACGCTGGGCGCGTGAGTATGCATGCCCGAGATCCTGAGAGGAGAATAGAGGAGAAGGGATTGCAGCGTGGACATCCCCCCTAGGGGGTGATTTCTCGCTTTCTGTCTTTCTGTCTCTTTCTGGCCAGCGCACACACCCTATAGCAAAAACATCTTCAAAAGAAAAAACTAAAAAACGCAAGACAGAAAGTCTGGGTCCAGGCTGAGGTGGGGTTTGTGGGGGGCAGAAAGCCTTACCCATTCCTAGTGTTCTCAAACCAGTAGCGGTCACCATCCCGCAGGCGCACGAACTGGTCAAGGACGATGGTGCTGAACAGGGGCCCGGGGTCCCCGTGGCTCTCCAGGAGCCCCCCTGGGAGTAGCTCCAGCTGAGACAGGTCCTGGTTGTACAGGGCGGCTGTGGCCTGCAGCACCTGGGACTAAGAGATGGGAATGAGTGAGAGGACCTGGCACGCACCCTGTGGGCAGAAAGGTAGTTCCCCGGGATAATTACAAGTGACAGAAACAATAACTCACTGGTCTATAGTGCTTATTATGCCCCAGGCACTGCTCTGAGGCCTCTACATGGCTTAATTCATTTACAGGAACCCTCTCACAGATTCAGCTGCCTATTTTATAAACTAGGAATAAAACAGACAGCCAAGCCCCTGTATAACTTGTTCTTGAAGAGGCACGGAAGTTGAAAGACCAAAACCAGAATGCGCAAAGTCGAATGGTACACTGATACGTTATGAGAAGCGTCTATTTTTTAGAGACGAAAAAACTTAAAAAATAAAATAAAATCCCTGACGACACAATCCTTTTTAGAGACAGTCTTCAACAATATTATCACCAAGCATCTTCCACCTGGACACCACTGTAGTTCTTTTCTCCATAATGTAAATAAGGACTTAACCAGCTTAATTCCAGTGAAGCCTGTCGAAGCTACGGATTTGCTGCTTTGGGTATGCCTTGGGACTCCTGTCTTGACACTGATTTTATAAAGTTAATGAGCCCCACGCATGTATCATTTCCTTCATGCCCTTTCAATTCTCCACTTTCTAACAATTTGACAAAGCGGTAAGGGCAAAATGCCACAGTATAGGCACACACTCGTAGAAATACTACCGCGCCAAGATGGTAAGGCAACTGAAACTGGTCTGCCGGCTCACCGGTAACACCGTCTGCCCAGTGATAGCGCAGGGTGCCACGAGCTACTTCCGAAAGGCAGCGTGGATACCAGGGCATGAAGGCATAGCTTTTCCCTAGGTCAAGGACCTGCTATGTCCTCTCAGGACTTGCTGAGAAGACGAAATGAGATAAGGCCTATTCCATCCCTGGCATGCAATAGGTGCTCAATAAATAGTTGCTGCATCTCAGCAGAGGTCAATGCCAAATCCTGCTGGTCTGTCCATCTCCATCCTGGTATGTGGCATTAGGAAAAGCGACCTAGGGGAGCCCTGCCCCTCTCACCAGGTGCTTGTCTCTGGTACTTGCGTGTCATTGCCTGTCTTCCATGTCTCAGGACATGTGCTCTGGCCCTCCCACCCCACCGTCTGGGACGTAAGCCCTCCTCACAGTGCCATCACTGCGGGTGAGTGCAGGGTTGATGTCCTGCCAATGGGTGATGGGAGGCAGGCCCAGGGCTGCCCTGGCCTTGGTGTAAGAGGGCAGGCCCAGATCCCGACCCCGTTGCAGGCAGCTGGCCAAGTGGTCTGTGCGAGAAAACTTCAGTGGCCCAGGCCAGAAATCTGGAAATGAAAGACCGGAGAGTGAGGGAGCTCAGGGTCACCAACATAGCCCCAGCCCAGGCTGCTCCACCCAGCCCCAGGGGTGCCTGGCCACAGAGAGGGAGCCATGCTCGGAGGCTCAGAAGCTGTCCCAGCACCAAGTGCAGGGCAAGCTCCCAGCCGTGGGTACCCCTCCCTGCCTACTTCTAGAAGTCCCACCAGACCTGGGGTCACAGGTCCATGGCCTGCAGGGACAGCCTCAGCCTTACCTCGCACATCCTCAACCACCACATGGTCCTCTCGCTCGGCGATCTGGGAGGCCATGCCCAGCAGCAGCGCATCCACGTCTTTAACGCTCTGTCGGTTTGGGTGCTTTGGGGATGGGGAGAAGGAGGGGTGTGTGGTAAATGGGACCAGGGGTTGGGCAGCTGGACTACTTGCATCCCGTTCTCCACGTCCGTGGGCCCACCCATTCCTGATGGGCCATCCCTCCTCTGGAGATTACTTCCCCACTCAGGATGACTGTGTGCCCATCCAGCGCCTATGTTGCTGGGAGACAGGTCTCTCCGAGCATAGGGGACCTTAACTTCACCTCTTCTGTCTTAGGAGACCTGGCAAAGGCACGAGGCCATCTAGGTGCTGGTCTTTGTTCTGTTACTAATGAACCATGTGACTTAGGGCACATCACAGGACGCATCTGAATTCAGTGCCATCCCCATAGTAAAAGGGAGTCAGATGAAGAGGTTGCCGAGGTCTCTTTCATCTCAGCTCCGTGACTCTAATTCTATACCTCCTGTCTCCTTCGCTCCCACCTCTTTTTTCCTTTTGTAAATTCTGTACAAAGTATCTGATTTTGCTGTAAATGGATGCTTAATGCTCTTCACCCACACTGGCCTGGTTAGGATGGACAGATCATTCCCCCAAATCTCTCAGAATCCCTCCCTCCTCCCTGCACCCCAACACATACTCATTCACGCACTGAGCAGGGTGAGTGTATGTGTGAGGTTTCCTTCAGGGTGGGGAACTTGGGATGGCTAGGGTGCTCCCAGGCCAACAGGGCACCCAGAGCTGTCAAGGGAGAGGAGACACCCAGGAGGCAACACTGAAGTAGAACCAACCTGCATAGGCCCCACTGTCTTTCCCACAGACCTGAGGTGGGAGCCAGGGATTGGCTTTTGAGCTGGGCATCTCAGACACTTAAGGGGAGATGCCTGAGGTCCCCAGGTTGCCTCCTTCACCCCAGCCCATCTCAACCCCTCCGTCCCCTCTCAGACACAGGTAAACAGCACATGCACATAGACCCACCCCCACAGGTGGCCCTAGCCCTGACCTCTCGGCTCCAGTAGCTGTTGCAGACCCGGAGAGCCCTGGAGACACTTGAGTCCTGATTGATGACATTCTGGAAGTGGCAGCTGGCATTTCTAAAATGCAAGGAGTGGTCACTGGGTCCTACTGTCAAGAATAAACTGTCGTCTGCAAGACTGTAGCCAGGGACCCTGAACCATTGCCTCCCTCAGATGCTGTGAGGTCAGGTCTCCTGACGGGTAGATCCTGGGAAATCTGGCTTCTGGAAGGCCCCTCACTTCATAGCAGACCAAACATCTACAGATGTACCCATGAGCAGTCTCTCTCTCTCTCTATATATATATATACACACACACACACATATATATATATTAGGTGGTTGGGAAAGTCATGACATATTTTTCTATGCAAAAATACATCACCACTTATTCAACAACTCTGTGTGTGTGTGTGTGTTTAAAGGATGTTTCAATTTTTCTTTTGAAACTACTTGTCTATGGATAACTCGGCTGGCCAATTTCTTAGCTATCATCATGGATACTCTGAGATTGTTCCAGAAAAAGAAAGAAAATCTAACCTAAGAACTATTTAAAATAATAATTCAATTGCAAAAAAAACAAAACTGACATGCTTTATTTTACATACATTTATTTTTAAATGTATATTTTTATTTTAAAATTCTCATTTATCCTGGACTCAACATTTCCTTCAGATTGCACACACACACACACACACACACACACACACACACACACATATGTACATATCTATTTTAAGAGATTTTTACTATATGGCACATGTGCTTGCCAGAGAGACAGCGAAAAATCACCCACCAAGAGGGCTGGTCATGTCGCAATCCCTTCTCTCCCATTCTTTTCTTAGGACTTTGGTCACGTACACACATGTGCCCAGCATGAGTTTTAAGCCACCAGGTCCGGGACTTGAACCACAGTCAACCACATGGGAGCCCAGCAACATAACCATTATGCCATCTGCTGGTCCCTAGATTTCACATATTTTGAAGTCCCTCCCCAAACCGATAAGCCCAAGGCCCTCTGTTTATATACGAAATGCCTCTAGTGAAGTACCAAGCCCTAAGGTTGAGACCACTGGGTTTTGTGACACCTTCTGAACCTTAATTACTCCATATTTACTTGGACAATAAATATCTACACCAGCTGTAAGAGAACAGCCTTAAAAGTACCTAAAAAACACACTGACAAATCTTCAAAAAATATTGTAGTTTGTCTTCCATCCTTCACTGCCTGGGCGAATGAGCACACTTCAGACTGATGATCCCATCTTGAAGGCTCTGGAGGGCAGATTTTTCTCTATTGACACCCCCAACTCACCCGACACACATTTGAGACTTGCTGCCCCCCTCACCTCATGTAAACGCCAGGGGGCACCATGGTGGAGAAGAACTGCTCAGAGGCGGCTACAAACTCCGGGGAAATGCTGGGGTCCAAAAATGGTCTGTATCCTGGGGAAGGGAGAAGAGGGGACACAGAAATTTGGCCCTTAATCCACCCTTTGACCCCCACAAAAAAGTAAGCCCTTCTATCCCTCCCCCCCATGCCCTCACCTGCATACTCCGGGGGTGTCACGTGCAGGAAGCTGGGCAGCCACTCATACAGAGCGATGTTCTGAGGGTCAGAGACAGGGGACAGGGTGTTGAACCAGGCCAGGCTGCAGGGATCTCCGTGCAGCGAGGGTTCAGGTGTGGAAGACGACCAGACAGGGTGGTCACGTGAGAAGCAACCCACACAGGAGCACCGCCAGGCCTGCCACCCCCCAGGAAACAGGGGATCTGCTGGAGCAGGGGGTGGACATGAGCGTCACAAGCGAAACCATCTCCTGGACAAATGGCACTTGGCCTCCTTTTCCTGTCCCACGTCCGGGGCTTTTCCTAGACATTAGCTCTCTGGGAAGGGGTGTCTCGCACAGGGGTGTTTCTGAAGTAGGGCAATCTGAGCATGGGAAGCCCTGCGAGGGGACCTGCAGGAGAAAGGGGTGGCGGTCGCGGGGGCGGGGAGAGGCCGACCTGGTAGGTGGCGATGACCCTCTTGCGCGCGTGCTGGAACAGCTCCTCGTCGCCCCAGCGCGGGTGCTCGCCGGCCAGCCTCTGCGCCCACAGGTTGTGGTAGCGGAACCAGAGCAGGCCCAGCGCCTGCAGGAAGGGCTCGCGGTTCCCTCGCTCGGCCCCGAAGGCTGCACCCCACGGGGGAACACAAGGAGGAGATGAGCGGCGGCGCGACCAAGGGAGCCCAAACTCGAGGACCCCCTCCCGCCTTCCCCCCAACCCCCGCCCCCAGCGAGCGCCCTGCCGCCTCCGCCCTGCCTCGCCCGCGGCCTCACCGTACAGCCCCCGGGGCACGCGCTGCCCGCTG